GCTTTCGCCGCCAAGGGCGACGCGTCTGCCATGGGGGAAATATTTGCAGTGCGAAAGTTTGATGCTCATAGAAGGATACGTCGTCTGTGGTGGATTAGGATGGATGTGTATGAGGATGGAGTGAGGGCTACGCACCAAATTCAACTTCACCGTTCAAGATTGCTAATTCCTTGGCATCAGGTTCATCAACCACATCGTAGGCTCATCGAGGTGAGGTAATTTCTCGGTATCAACGAGGCTTTGGTTGATTGCGCGGTATACGCCGCCGAGGTTCGACAGAGGGAAGTAGGGTGTGGATGACATCGGCGTGGTTGTGATTAGAAGACGTCAACTCTGCACCGCACGAAAGAGAAGGTGCCCACCTGCGTATAATAAGTGATAAACACCACAACGTCGCTGGTGTTACTCTTCCCCTCGTGATGCGCGACGCGACGTCGGTGATGATGAGCGTTTGTATGAGGTTCAGGAGGATGAGAGATACTACAGGTATGATCAGCTGGGTAGCTGAAGACAGGCCAGCGAAAAGCACACGCAGACGTAACCCCAAAGCCTGAGGCGTTGCGAAGCGATAGGTAAGAAACCGTAGCGGCGGCAAGCCACCAATATCGATGAAGGAGCGATTGTAACGACTCGGAGGGTCACAGTTAGGACCTTTCCTTTGCTCCGTAACGAGTCCTAACGACCAGTGCGCTCTTCAGTGGCTAGAAAGAGAACGCTTTCCTGTGTAGAAATGACCCTATAAGATGCAATCCCCGACACCCAACTAGTGCTGCCGAAGTTCAGTTCCGTCCGGTTTTTTCAAGATAACTGAGGACCGAGAACTGAACCTCGGTCAAGTTCACAAAGGTAGGGTGGACTCTGGGCCGGACCACTTTGAACGGGTTCACAATGGTCGGGTTCGAGTTCGAACCAGTTCGAACCGCCGAACGCAACATGAAATTAGCAAAATTTTCCAAGTACGAACAATTGTAGGCTAGACTATTCAACAATAAAAATTTGAGGAGCAACAAGCTCAGCCTGCACCATTGCTGATACATGGCCTTGACGGTACGCACTTTTTAACAGTTGAAGTGCCTCGAATGTCTCTGGAAGCAAGCAGTTGCGACGTGTGGTGCCGGTGATGCCGCCACTTGAGAATGCCCGTTCAGATGCTACCGCAGACCCCTGAATAGCGAGGTAATCTTTTGCGATGCGAGCAACAGTGGGATACTGAACCGAGTGATGCTTTAAAAAAATAATTGTCAGCTTCAAGTTACACGGAATATTAAGGATATGAGCTTACACCCCACCACGCGACTACATTCTCAACATCCTCCAGTGGTGCAGCTAAGTAGTCCTCCAATTCCCGACGAGGCCTTTGACGAGCTGCGTCATGTGAGACACGAGCTTTGATTGCATCGCGCATCCAGCTCTGGCCGTAGGAACCTTGGCGTGAGAGGGATGGTGTAGCAGAATGTGTCGTCGCAGCAGATGAAGGAGGGGCATGATAATACTGATCAAACTAGATACTAAGTTAGTGCTGCAGACAATTTATTGAGATACCCATGGACTTACCACATCTTCGAGCCATTTCACTCCATCAGCAAAGTCTTGAGACGCCCATTTTGCCTTAGCATAGGCAACTTTGTAGTTAGGGTCGAGGGCTGCATGATGAAAGTAAGAGTGTCGTCAAAATGAGAATGTGTGAATTAAGAATGGGGCACGTACCAAGGCAGATGAAGTAGACATCTGTGTCATTTGTCTTGCGATACCACTTAGCCAGATTGTCCAGGCCAGATGTGACGGATGCTGAAAGTACGTCGAATGTTGAAGTGCCAGCCATGCGTTCCCACGTCTCTTGAAGATATTCGAGGACAGGAATGGTGCGCCAGACTGTAGGCTCCCGAGTAGCTGAGAAAGTCTGTTGAGCATTAGCAGGCTCCTGCGCAGTGTAGTGCTAGTTAATACAGAAGGTGGAAAAAAAGACAGTTGAAGGAACTGACCTGTAGCACTGTCTCAAATCAATTCCAACTTTGACCACTCCTGTTGTGTGAGCTTGAATGCCGAATATGTTTTCCCTTGTAAGTTGGGGACTTCTTCGCTGTCGTCAGCAAGTTGTGTGAACCTGTTCACTCCCTTAAATTCAAATAAATTAGTTTAGATAGAACATAACACTTAATATAAAACAAACCTTGCAGTAAACGGATCACTCGCTCCAACATTTTGAAGAGTGATGCCCAATGTGTTCGAACCCATTTGAGAAGTTCGAGAGGGGGGAGGTCAACCTCAGCGCAGCACTTCTTGAAGAAAACACGAGCTTGCGGGGACTTTCGTATTTGCATGACAAGTGAAAGTGCTTTACCAATAGTATCGGCAACGTCAAAATTGGTCTCATCATCATCATTGTCGTCATCGTCTTCTGCTGTCTTCTTGAGTAAAACACTGGCGGATGTTGGAGCCACTCTCTCAACAAAATGCTTTGCTGCAAGATGCAGCGCGTGTTCCATACAACGGACACGATGTTCGACTGGGTCCCAGTTGATGCCATGAGAATTGATCTCCATCGCGACAGGTTCGAATCGCTGTGTCGTTGTTTGTCGCGTTGTCAGCTGTGAACCAGCCGACCTATGAAAAAGATTAGAGAAACAGTAAGTAAAATGACACAAATGCTCACCTTTTTGCGTATATCATACTTATCGATCACTTCGATCAAAATACCACCAATTTTAGCGCCGCTATGGTTACCCTTGATGAGCCTAAAGGCAAGTTGCTCCGTCTTGAGTTCCCACTCCTGAGGCTTGTCCACGGGTGAGTCGATGTAATGAGCTGTGATGGAAAGGAAGGGGTCGCCTGGTTCAGATGTCCAGGAGTCAAATGTCATTGAAATCTTGCTGTCAACGTGCTATGACAATTATAATGAGTGAAAAGCAGACAATCACAATTATTAACACTTACTGCTAGTTTTTCCTTGACTTGTTCAACAGCAAGTTTTGCTCTCTCTAGAATCTCATCCCGTGTCTTAGTGCGGTGCGGGATATCTTGATCTGTAAGGCTTGGCCAAAGGTATTGCAGGAGGCGGCGAAAGGATCCTTTGTCGACAAGTTGAAATGCCTGCAATTGCGTGAGTACTGTGAAAGAAAGAAAGAAATAGTGAAAGTCACAAACCTCATCCTCGGCAACAATAAGCTCGACAATATAGTCGACAAGGCCTGACTTTGAAAACTGTGGTGGCTTGGGGACAAGGGCACGATCAAGAGTTCACTGCCCTCCGTCGGATACCTTGACATTCAAGGGAATAGCGCGCTCATGCATGATGATGCCTTTCTCCTCGCAGCGACTCTTGTAGATCGGAAAGTGGCAGTTTGGATTCCGGGCGATGTGAGTACGATGGGTAGAAATACTGCCCTTGAAGAAACAATTTTGAAGAGGCAAATTTGCTTCCCTATGAGACAGAAGGCAAGTTAGTAAAAAGATGCTCGAAAATGGGGAAGAGCAAAACACACTTGCAAACGTTACACCACCATCCATCCTCACTTTCACCGGTGTGTGCGTTCTTGTGGCCTTTTTCCTTGGTGAAGATCATCTGCAGATCTGCTGTCCGCTCATCTTTCTTCAAACTTTTGCGAACCTGGAGGTCTGATATGAGTAAAGTAGGAGAGAGCCTGAAAACACACTTACATCTCGGTCGGCATCTCCAAATGCTTTTATTTGCTGGTAAGCTTCTTCAGCTTCCTTGGCCTCTTCGTCGCCTGAATCTGCAACAAATGACTTGTCCTTGTTTGTAGATATGACATTGTTGTTGTTGTTGTTGTCACCGCCGCCATCATTGTCGCCAATTGTAGAAGAGCTGGTTGCAGAGACAAGCGGGCGCTTGGTGGCAGGGGGCATGGTGGTAGTACCTGAACATTTGGCAGGAATGGCACTGCTCGCTGCTTCTCGCACCTTTGCGGAAGGCTTGATAGGCCGGCCAGAGCGACGAGAACCAGCAACAACTGTTGCGGGCATTCGATGAGAGCCTACGAAAGAGTCCAGGGTACAATGAGAGGGTGCTGGGGGCAAAGCCTTAGATGAGGATTCAGGATGGGGCGAGATGGGCATGTCATCGTCAGGATCATGATACCATTCGATTTCAGACACATCCTTCAAAACACCATTAGCATTAACTGCAGAGTTCAACATGTTTTGATGAATGAGCTAACCTTGGACGCACCCCACCCTTTTATCCTTTGCTGATGTTCTGCGTAAGACCAGAATGAGATATAAATATCCACTCTGATCAATTGCATCGGTGATGATTGCACCGGTGACGATTTCACCGGTAAACTTACTGATATGTCAACAGTGAGCATCTTTCGATGAACCTGAGGAGTCGCAGAACAGAAGCAACAAACCTGCAACTCTAATGATGGGTTCGGACTGGTTCAGACTCGTCCGAACGGGTCCGACGTCCATCCAAGACCACCCGAACGAAGAACCTATGTAAGGTTCGGTCCTGTATCGTATGTCGAACTACTGACCGAACGGTGGTTCCATTCACAAAAGTTCAGGTTCGAACCTAGGTTCGGGACTGAACTGCGGCAGCACTACACCCAACACTAGCCCGAGTTAGGAGCCTCGGCTCTGTCCAGTGTCGAACACTAAAAATTCCCATCAGCGAAAGGGTGTGCAAAGCTGTGCTGATTTTCTACAGCTCAATACCTCCATGTTGACTGACATGTGCTCACTGTTGGCTGAAAACGCATTGGACTCTTCGTTGCTTACAATGAGCATGTCAATGAAGACAACGTAGTTTAGGATGCATCAGTAAAACCTCAGATTTATTTTCCTTCATTATGCCACTTTTCTTGCCTTGGCGCTGGTGCTAAGGCATAAAAATTAATACAAGGAGTGAAAACTCATCTTTCCGAAATTTCTCAAAGGTGCGAAAGAGTGGTCCATTGGTTTTGCCACACAAAGGAGTGAAAATGCGAATTAAGAGAGAAAAGTGTGTTATAAATTCAAATGGTGTACAAGTAGCTAGATCAAAATGCAATCTCAAAGGCGTGATGGTCGGCGTATTTATTGACATAGTAGGTGCGGAATGCGTCATAGGAATGGTAGAATTTGAGCTCCTGAGGCAGAAATTCCATGCCATACATGGGAATAAGATGGGCAGCACGATAAATGGCGTCAATATGAATGATAGCGTGCTCCGCAGTATTGTTTGCACCCTCTCCTGGACGAACCACCCACATTCCCGTGTCTTCGTCTGCAGCATTGCTGATTTTGTCGAACCAGTGAACCACAGCGCAGGGATACACTTCGCCTCGGTACTGGAATGAAAAAAATGCGCGAACGCACGCAACTTCGAGACCTTGCATGCCAGGCAGATTGGAATCTGTGTTGACAAAGACACAGTCATTGCGTGAATGCCCACCTCGCCAGGAGGGACAAGAGTGGATGTGTTCAGTGTGCATGCCACCAATACCACTCAAATCACTTGGTGCATAGAATCGCAATGATGCTGAATTGAACACCGCAATTTTGCTGAGATAGAGAGGGCATTCAGCAAGAGGTACATCAGATGGGTCGCGGGGATCATCAGGATGCAACTGTTGAAATAAGAAGCGTCTGAGAAGGTTGGGTAGGTGAGGAATATGAAGTTCATCGGCGAGTGCAGGAACGGTTTGAGTGCGAGCTTTGCCCTCTGTAAATATATTCAGTATCACATTGATAATCTGGAAAAAAGGACACTTACGGCGGGTTTTTGCCAGCTGTATGAACACTTGTAGAACTGTGGGCCCGTTGTCTATGTCGAGGTCCGCGTCAATGTTGATCAAGGGAGGTGGAGGTGGTGGGGGTATGGGTGGGGCAGGCGCAGGCACATGCATATCTGCTGCTGCTGCTGCAGTTGTTGTTGCTGTTGCTGCTGCTGCTGCTGTTGCTGCGAGTGCTGCCGCCCCCCGTCTTCATCAACTTGGTTGATCTGCGCAGGAACTGTTATGAAAATTAGTTGAAAGATATCTCATAAGAAATGCGCGACTTACCTAACGCATTTGCTGCTGAGAGACAAGTGCCAGTGAGCATCCCCTGACGCGTGAAGTCGACTTGCAGTGCTGAAAGTTTGTCGAGCCGTTGATTGGTCAGTAATATCTGACCAAGTGCATTGAAACGGCTCGATCGTCACCAGGGCTCCTTGACCGCTTTGATGCGCTTGTTCTCGGTGATTGACGAGCAGAGACCATTGGGTGCAGCAAAGAGTCGAATGTTTTGAGCATAGTGCATGAGCGAGTGTTGACGAGGTAAGGAGAAGTGAAGGACGACATCTGTTGTCCTGAAGATTTTGCGGTAATGGTGAAAACGAGAGAGTGCGTCCTCGATTTGAAGTAGAGAGTCTTCAGTGATTATATTGCAATGGACAAGATAACAAAAATCTAGAAGTGCGCGAAAGGCGCGAATGACGTCTTGAGGTACATGGCCCTCGATAGCAGGTAGATAGACCTAAAGGATTCAATATTAGATAGGAACGATACAAAAAAATGACGACTCACTTTCATCAAGGCCTTAGAGTCATCTCCTGTCCACTGCTTGAATCCGCGCCCTTGAGGAAATCGTCGCAGGCCTGAAAACGAGGCGACAGCAGCGATTCTAAGGCAATGAGAAAAAGTAAGCAATGTGAATACAAACTGAGCTAAACCTGCGGTCAATATCATCCATAATTTTCTGTGCCTTCTGTTTGTTGTGTGTCTGACGGAGGTACTTCTCGACCCATGTCATGAGGTGATCCTTGAAGGCGCCTTTGATAAGTTGATGGAGGATATCTGGTGATATCATTTGATAGATATCGGCTCGGGGAAAGTCGTTCGTGAATGGCTGTCGAAATAGTATTAGTTGTGTAAATGAAAACGAGAGAAAAACGCTGAATGACTTACCACAAGTTGCGCGACTATTCCAAAGTCTTCCCAAAGATCTCCCGAGTCAGCTTCTTCAACGAGTGCCTCTGTAAATTCGCGGCTACAGGGCAGCGCATCTTCGTCGAGATCTTCGCGATTTGCAACACACCTTTAGAATAATGTGAGTGACCATGTAAATACAAATGAAATGAAAGACGTACTTCGGACACCAATTACGGACAATGCACGCTAGTAGGACTTGCTCTTTGTAATCCACTATGTAAGGCCCTAGTCCATATATGACACGCCAGTAGTGTCCGTCTCTGAAACGTGTTGCTTCGGGAGTCATCATGCCCGGCTTGAGCAGATCGAGGATTTTGGAGAGGGACAAATGGAATAACTGCCGATGAAATCTTCAGAACGAAGGTTCTTCAGCATGTTCCTGCGTAGCTGTATCATAGTTAGTCAGTTATAGAAATAGATTGCAGGGTTGAAACATACTTTTCGGCATTGCCAGGAACCCAATGATGACCACACCATCACAATGTGCTCTTCGAACGTTATTGTGGATGTTCCCAATGGAAGCATAGAGCGGGTAGTACTCATTGTTACCTGTTCCGACTGAAACTGTCGTTTTGTCGCTGCCAAGGATGACAGGGACAAATGTCGACCCGAGAGTGCTCGGGTCTTTCGTGATTTTGTCCTAGATACATAGAGCCGTTAATATCGGACATCACGAAACAAAAAATGCATTACTTACTGCTTGATCCCACACCCAGTCACCAGACATGAAATCCTTCCATTGGCGCTTGTTGCCCTCAGTTGAATACTCCCTATACGGGCAGTAATCTATCTCGTTAGCATAAGTCGAATTTGCGAGCATATTGCGTGCAACTTCACATGGGTCGCGGAACCAGACTTCGTACTCGTCGTCCATCCAGGGCTTGTCCTCGTCTGCAAGTCTCTCGCCATCATAGGCGACCGGTAAAACATTGCCATGGTACATCCCCAAAGGGCGAACTGTCAATGACGTGGTACAGATCACGGTGATCTGCAAATGGCGGGTTGTCGTTGTGCTTTGCAAGGGTAGATGCCCATAGATCCAGCAGCCGGTCAATTTGACCGGCTGGCATTTGATTGTGCTTGTAGAGGAACTCGGCCATTTCAAATTCTGTGCGGTTCCGAAAAGGCGTCCAGTCATCAGTTGCGAGATTCTCAGGAGGTGGAGGTGGAGCGCCGGGGGGGAGGTATACACCATTTACATCACATGGTCTACCTGTAATAGCGCTCATTAAAGATAGAGTATCACACAAAAAAATTGACGTACCATTAAGACTTGTGTGATAATTGCGATAAAGCTGATCGCCACGCCCAAAAAACTCGGTGTTGACGTCTGCATGGGGGGATTGTTGGCGCAGATGTTCGTCCATGTCGCCCTGGTAACCATCCGCATCAACATCGCGCTCATAGTCCCCACTGCAAGATGGGTGTGGGCTTGGCATTTGGGGATCAGGTTCCAGAGATTCTTGATGGTTGTCTTGAGGTGGTACTGGCATCACAGGATGTGCCAAAATTCGATGTTTTGTTCGCCCAGCGGAGGTTTTGAACCATCTTGAGCATGTTCCACATGGGAGTTGGAGTGTGCTATGGTCCCGTCGGCATGGTTGGGTGCGTGGAATATCAGCAGGCATCACGGAAAGTAAAGACGCTTGAGTTTGCGTCAATAAGAGTGCGCAGCTGAAACAAAACGACACCTACATTTTCGTTGAGTGGATTTCCAAGTGACTGAGCTCAGGCCAGCCGAAGAATGCGTCTAGCTGATGTGACCAGCTGGAAGTGTAGACATTTGAAGTAAGTATGGCACGATAATACAGAATAACGCAGGACTTACTTGATGGTTTTTTGGACAACTTCACAGATGCGCAGACCAGAGAGTCCTACTAGTAGTGAATTGAATTAGCGATCGAACTTTGTTTGTTTAGTTCTTAAGTACGAAACTTACAAATTGGTTGTCAATTTTCAACTTCAACCATTCTACCGACCACTCATTCCATTTCCCTGGCCGTCCCAAGCTTGCCATAGAGCCTGTCAAATCTGCCCCTCATCAGCAATGTCTGAAACCGCTCAGAAGTCGCATACCTGCCCACAGAACGCAAGCAAGCATCCAGGCTTGACTGACCTGCCAGCAAAAGGACATCAGCGATGGACTAAGGCCCAGATAGCAGAGGACAACCAGATTCTTAAGGAATCACGCGAAGTCCAAGAGCAGGCAGCGCTGGAGGGGCTGCAACGGCTTGCAACCATGCAGAAAGAAATGGAAAAGGTGGAGGAACTCACCAAGTCGAACATGCCGAAGCCAGCGAGACCTCGTGCCCACCCTGTCGTGAAGCGAACGGCGCCTGATAAGAAGGTCCTGATGAAAGGAAACACTGGTGAGTGCACAAGTATCGATTGAGGCTCACTTACATAGGGCTGACATTGTTGAAGACCTAGAGGAAAGTGGTCGAGACGACAGCAGTCATGTTCAAGAGGGAATCAGTGAGAAATCGAAGACTCAGAAGCGTGGCAAGATCTCACTTAAGGATGCCATCAACAATGCGCGAGATCTGATCGCAACGCCTGGAATCAGAAGCCAGGAACCACGTTGTGGGTATCACAACCTGGCAGGCACATATAAGAAAAATGCTCAGCCAGTATAAGTGAGTCTCAGCTCTGCCTAGCTGCTATACTCGCAGAATGCAAGAACGTTCAACCCTAAAGGGGAAGCAAGGAAAGCAAGGATCCACGGAATGATGCTGAACAACCCTGGTGAATGGCGGTGAAATCGCGAGAAAGCGCGCTGAAGGCGCGCGCGGGAAAGCGAAGTGCGAAAGTGCGCGAAGCGTGGGAAGGTAGTGCAAGCAGTGCACAGGTGTAAAAGATGTATACTGAGACTGATAAGAGGAAAAGCGCGGATCTAGACGGATACTGAAGGTGCCACTAGCTATAGACTGATGCTAGGGCCTCAAAACGATGATTGACACATGCATTGCATGGGCTAACTGCCAAGTAACATGGTGGTGGTAGGAAGCTAAGGTGGAATAGTGGGGTGTAAAACGAACATGAAAGTATGTAAGTTCTACCTAAGCGCTCTCCCAGGGCTCGGAGCTGAATAGGGAGCGCTCTAAGTATGTAAGTGATGTAAAGTGATGTAAAGTAAGGGTCCATGACGAAATGGGAAGTGTAATATGCTAAATATGGTCAGATAACGAAAAGGGACATACCAAGGGACTGGTTGGACAATGGATGGATGCTCCTGGATGATGTGCGACATAGTGCGCTTAAGCGCGAGAAAGCGCGCAAGGCGCGCACGCGGGAATACTGCGCGTTGTGCGGGAAAGTGTCGCGCCTATGGCGCGTTCCGCGGGAAAGTGGTGCGCTCTATAGGGAAGGACTAGAGGGTGATGGTGCGAGTTGTGCCGTGAAGGCCAGTCATCAGAATTTGTAATATGAGCCCATATGAGCCTGCAGAAACGCGAGTCTCTACAACGTGTCGAAGACAAGAAAGGAAAGTTGTCTGTGAAGTATGTCTCTTCGACTTGCCATGTTGATGCTTACTGGATCAACGCTATTCTTTGTTAACTTAACCTTGAAATCCAGGTCGACCAACTCAAAGTTTTCACTGGCAGGATGTGTCAATGGCTGGGTATCTAATGTTGCACCAGATGAGAGGTCCAAAGCTTCAAGCGCTTCCAAGTCTCGCACCACTGCCTCCCTTTTCTCATTGGCACATGGGCCACCCAGCACCCAGGTTACATCTGTATCAGATGTAAATACTAAGTCCAGTCGCCAACATAACTCTCCCACTCTTGCTACTAACAAACCTGTTCCTGAGGCCCTTGTTGGTGGCTCTGCCGATGACACTCTGGATGATTCCCAGGAACGCCTTGAAACAATCGCATCGAAAACGAAGGAGAAGAAATCTTTCATTAAGGTGCGTAGATGATATGTAGTCTTACTGGTTCTAATATGAAGTAAACTATATAGATCACTACCAACATGAGGACCGAAGATGCGACCATGGGCTCGAAGGGACAGTCCGATCTCGATGTGCCAATGGACGTGGAGGCCTCCACGCCATCAGACATAGAGGCAGACTTCGAGGATGACGCGGATGGCCCAACCGACTTCGAGGACAATGATGCGATGGACGCAGAGGATGACGTGGAGAATGTCGTGGAGGTTCTGGAGGACGACTTCAACCCGAACGAAGACGCGAAGATGTCCGAGGACAGTGACGGTGGCAGTGATTTATCATTCCACCGTCCAAACAACAAGAAGCGCAAGGTCTTGGTGGACTTATTGTCCTCAGATGAGGAACTCGAGGCTCCGTTCACAGCTGTCGTTGGAGGGGTCACGAAGAAGGCCGTGCGGGTAACATCTTCTGTGAGTCTATTTCATTAATGCTTATTGCTACTCATATTTGTTTGAACAGACTTCAGTCGCTGTCTCCGAGGCAGCTGTTACAGCAAAGCCACCTACGAAGAAGGTGAAGACTGAAGAAGGTGCCGATGACGATATGAAACCCATGCTCATACCATTGGCTGGTCACTGGATCGAGAAGCAATATAAGTCACGCTCAACCTACTGGAACAGTGATCTACCTCCGCAATGTCAGGATCAACGGTGGCCCAAACATTTTCTTTCAACCCTTTACCTGTGGGCCGGCAGCCAAAATGATCTCTGGCAGTTTGCAGACGCTTCTCTTGTTGAAGCGCTTCAACACATTTTTGATGCCGTGTATCCAGATCTCCAGTACAAGGTGACCGCTCAGGGATCTGTCTTTGGTGTTGTGTGTCTAGCAATTTTTTTTGTAGCACTATTGCGAACTCATTGTGATCTCAATAAGGCTACTCAACGTCTGGCAGAGTGGCGCAGCAACTTCGGTTCAACAGGACTCGCAATTATGATCGACTTCTTCGCTCGGAACAAAGACACTAATCCGAAAGACCTTAGCAAAGCACTTATGGAGGAGTTCGTGTTCCTCTTCGAGGACTTGGACTTCTCAGACACGATGAAAGCATTCCGGTCTCCTTTCATGATACAGTTATTTGCAACCGCTCATCTTCACAGTACCGTTGGACACGCTTATGTCGCCACCATCAAAACTGATGTATTGGCTGCCAGTGGCATGGCTGGTGTTCTTGCTCTCTGCGCAACCTCAGTAAGTATTCTGACCATACGAGAATCATGACTCATCACATTTGACAGCTCGAATGTGCTGTCAAATGCCTGGGCACTGGCGCCATCGATATTGATGCGGACATCCTCGATATGCGTCCTGCGCAACTGAAGCGCAAGCTGCGCACGCCGAAGACCCTCAACAAGTGTACCGGCAACTACAGCACTACCGAGCACGCCTTCTCCATCAATAACTGGGGATCAGTAACCGAAGCTTACTTGGCCAGCATCAAGAAAAAGGGAGATATCTTTTTGAGGGACACAATTTTAACAGCGCAGAAGTTACTCAAGAAATCGGGCAGTGCTGGCCTCGAGAAGTACCTTCGCCTCAACGACGACGACAAATCAGAGGACATCGACAGGCGTGCCATGCTTTGGTAACTAATATTTTGTTTTTTTTTGCGTTATTCATGAGCTAACATCATTTGATAGATCTCGTTTCTTATCCCACCGCTCGTACTAATGCCTTTTGTCGTCTTTCGCCTCGTTTCACGCTCTCTGCACCGCCACCCTTATTTTCAATAGCGTTTCATACCCTTCCTTATCACTAATGTTTCGTACTTTACAAAGTTAGTGTTCCCATTGTCATCGCTTTTTTGCACTTTTTACCAGAGGATGTCATACCATTTGCTCTCAATTAATACCACTATGTTTTGTCGGTTAATGCCTTATAAGTGAGTTTCATGAGCTGCAAAGTAGAATTCAGAGGAGGAGTGGCATTTTTCTCAATTTTTTCATCGTGTCTTTCGTGTCGCCTCAAACCTGGTTAAACTCGGAAAAATAGAAATAAATTAAAAATCTTTGGTGAAAATAGACCCGAGGTTTTACTGATGTGGTGCATGAATTGGGAAAATAACTGACCCATATCTTGAGCAGTGCCGTGCTGAAATTCTCAATCATATCAATTTATACGCAAATGTACTAATCTCGCTTCTCACTACAGCAGATATGCCTTCCTGCATCAGGAAAAACCTCCCACACAAACTTAGAGCTAGTTAGATAGATTTTTGAAAATTGTCAAAACTAAGACTAGTTAGCTCTAGGAACTACAAGTTGATGACAATGGACTACAATTAGCGCAGAGTTACAAAGCTATGTCTATCTAAGTACGGATTTACAAAAAATGTTGGACACTCCTCAAGGACATTGGCAGAACTCCATTCACGAGGAGCAGTGGAACCAAACTGCGGAATTAAATGTGCACTACGATGAATGTTACTGACCGGTATAATGCTTGCTATTCGTTCCCCATCTTTGATGACACGCGAGACTTTGCGCAAGCCATGGTTGCGCTCAGGTGCATGGAAAGCAGTGAACCACTCGACATAGGCGAGGTGTTTAGGAGGCCGGAATGTTGGGGGAAAGAGTATAGCAAGAGCTTTGGGAGGGATCGAGAACATAACGCGGACCTGTCCTATTTGATATCCTATGTAAATGTTAGGCATTGATGTACCACTAGTTCCATAACAATCACGACTCACCTTTGATGCCAAGCGGCCCACCTGTACCGTCATTGATGAATGCAGTATCGAATCGAGAAGCAACACTGTCTGAGGCAAATGGCCTTGAACGTCCAGGACGTGCGTGCACACTATCAAGTGTGACCGGAGTATTGCCATGGCCACTGGACATCAACTGAGATCCACTTCACCTTATGAAACACCGGCAGCAGTTTGAAATGGTAGGTACACGTCAGCAGCTCGATCTTCGAGCTGCCTAGATGTGATGGTAGTGTTCGGTGGAAGTGTTGCTTTCACAATGAAACGTGCGAGAGATTTGCGAAAGTATGTAGCACCATATTCAGTTTGCGAGTTTGTCTAATGTGACTGCCTTGACACTTGGAAGCTTGGTCATTGTCTGAGTGCGACAAAATGACATCTCTGGAGGTCGAGGGTGATGATTTGGGTGATGTGGGGTGCCTGCAAGTCTCCACTGTATATATTTCTCATGGCAGGAAAATCTTTTCTCTGCGTTCGAGCCAGGTCGTCATTTGCGCGAATTCGTTCATGTGGTTTGTGGAGCGATACGCATCTTTAGCAAGGTCGATGTGGAGGCATTCGGTGTACCCGGTGTTATAATTATCTGTGGTACCGTACAATCGAATCATGTGAGCATAGTGAAGCGCAAAATGGAGTTTTGGCAAGTTGAAAGAGTTCCGAATGCCAAGGTCGATGAAAATGTCCTTGTTGTTGTGGAAGAGATCAAGTGCCTCATCCAGTAAAATCAGTGTCTCTGAACTATGGCAAGGATATTGGGCAAGATATAAAAAATCTAACAGGCCACGAACAGTGCGGAGGAGCCGGGCAGAAGACATGTTGTTGGGTAGTCTGATGTCAATGATAATCCCAAGTAAGAAACAGCAGATTTGGTTATGCTCTGTGCCACTCAAGCAGTGAAAGTGTTGTGATGCCCTTCGTAAAATGTCGGATGTGGTGATTTGGGGGAAGGTGACGACATCTAGCATCAATCTCTGCACTACCGCACGCATCTGAAAGCCAAGCAAGGAGATGTTTGACAAGTCCTTGGTACAATTGATGTAGAATGTCGGGGGTGATAGATTCGAATATGTTGACAAACGGTAATCCCTCCCAGTATGGGTGAACGATGGGCTTGATGCCAGCCTCTGCACATGCACGAACAAAGGCTAATCCACCTTCATCAAGAGCGCTGAGGGCATTGAGTACTGCGTTCAAGTCTCGCGGTTGATAGTTTGCGGCACCTGCTGCAAGACCGAGCTCATCTGAGGGAACATCACAGCTTGGACATTGAGTGGTCTTGACTCCAGTTACTAACACCTGCTCTGGATAATCTCCTGCAAAGCATGCAAACAGGGGATGGCATCTACGCATAGCCCCGTCGCCACTTCGCATGTTGATTCCGTCAATGCCTGCAGCTGCAAGTGGAGCCAGCACACGCCCCACACAAGCGTGATATAGGTTAGCGAGCATGCAGCGGTGAGAAGCTTTATTGGTGACATGTTCAAGGCGGGTGGTTGGTAGGTATGCAAGAAGGACATGAGCTTGGCGTGACACCTTTCGACGGATCTCCTTGGGAATGTTTCCGATTGTCATGTAAACAGGATATGCAGTCTTGTTACGAAACAATGTGACTTGTGTCTTGTCTGATGAAATGATGACGGGAATTATTGTTGCGCCAGGGCACTCATGGTCCAGGTGTTTCTATGAACAGTGTTAATCTACCGCACAACAGCTTTGCAAAAAGGCACAAAATACTAACCTGACTATTCCACCACCATTTACCTGTATGCATCTCGTTATACAAACGAACTGTCTCATCTTCATCAGCATAGTGGCGTTCAGGTGCGAATACAAGAAAGTCGGCAAAATTCGGGTCGCTGAAGAGAGCTTTGATACACTCGATGATATCACGATAGTACACATCGAACGCTTCATTGGCAATGATTATCTGCTCTCGTTTAAACTTCGGATGGCCTGGAAGTTCATGATCAATGATATTATTCAATTCACGGGCGTTCTTGAAGGAGAGACCAATCATTTCACTGAGCTGGAGGATTACAGTCAGACTAATCCTGACGACCTTGAGAGATGCCATGAACTTACACCTTCAATAGAAATAAGCTCTGAGAAAGCAGTTGAGCTGGGACCTTGCAATTTTGCTCATCAAGCCATCTCCCAATTGAGCTTCGAAGCAAATGGAGCATAGGCATTATCTGCGCCTGAGCCATCGAGCTGCGCATGATAAGTCACATTGCTCAACTGCCTGGTTGGATTAATGGGCTGTCCGGCTCGTCGATCAGGGTAATGGACAACTATAGGTACCTGCTCATGGTCTCGAAGGCGCTGCTCTACCCTGTGGCAAGCATCCAGCTCTTGCGCATCCGGGGTATGTGGGTCCTGGGTACCATCATGTTCATCTTCGTTATCTTCCTCATGTGTATTGTGAGGTGATGCAAATAACGGAGGTTCCCATTTGTCGTGAGCATCACCCTCGTCTTCTGATTCTTCTTCTACTACAGGCGTCTTGTCCGCATCCCCTCCATCACCAAATTCCGCTGGCCACTCAAGTTCATCCTCAGCATATATCCCAAAGAAATCACCTTCAAAGTGTGGCGGCGATTGATTCGGGTCAGGTATATCTCCAATATCCATGTCGAACTCATTATCCTGTTGATCTGGAGCAGGCGGACTTGAATGAAATTGCTGTGAGGCAAGGTAGAGGGCACGACAAGCTGGATTGGTGGTTTTGGCAAGGTGCCGATTATAGCCAGTTATTGATGCGAGCTTTTTGTTGCAGGCAGGGCATGTTTCCGACATGTTCTAGGTCATTTGATAAGTTCACCAAACAATCAAACATCCAAAAAACCACTTACTTGGAAGACTGAGTTATAAGAGTCAGAGAAGAAGACTCGAAGGTGGCGCCTTATGAGAGTTTTGTCTGAGTTATATTCCCGGCGTGCAGCACAGCACTGAGGGTTGGGATGTGAAGTGTGCGTCCAGAGGCAAGGCGTTAAAGTCAGGAATGAGGAAAATGAGGTGTCCTAGGGCGGATGATGATATTGTACTTGGTTGGGATGTGAAGTGTGCGTCCAGAGGCAAGGCGACAGGCTCGAGCATGCTGCGGAACTAAGGTCCGCGCACAGCTCCTGGTTGATGAGATGGTTGTTGAAGTCCTCACCACCCAAGTGGGTGTCACCAGCAGTGGCCTTCACCTCGAAGATACCCTCCTCGATGGTCAAAAGGGACACATCAAAGGTTCCTCCTCCAAGATCGAAAATGAGGACATTCAACTTGTGAGCATGGTATTGGAAATGGTGTGCGTTAAAAGATAAGGAGAAAGATGTGTAAAGCATTAAAAACCGATAACTTGAGCAATCTAAGTAGTCCTTTGATGTTCAAGAAGAACTCCGTAACCCCTTTTTTTGCGTGACTGATTTCCGCAAAAAATTGGACAGCAGCAAACAAGGGAATGAGATAAAAGTAAACATCCATTTTCACATCGTCATCGACCTTGCAATCTGAGCCAATTGCTCTGCCATCTCGGGATAGTTGCGTGTGAACTCCAACTGTGCCGTGCTTGCCTGTAAACCGCCTCGTTAGATCAGAATCAGCCAATGCCCTCACCGACTCACATATTGGTACGTAAGGGCATTGATCAGCTCGGGTTCGCTGCGTGCCAGTTCCGCTTGCCTCTTGAACATCTCAACAGCACGATCAATCTTGCCCTGTTGCAGCGATAGTTGGGCAAGTGTGGCAACTGCAGGTTCGCACTCAGGATCAATTCGCAAAGCTTCATCACAGCACTGTTCTGCAGCAGTAATGTCCTGTTTCCATTGGTAGATGGCAAGGCCCTTGTTAACAAGAGGGAGAACATTCATCGGGGGAGGTCTGGTTGAGTGGAAGTGAGTCGATATATTGAAGAGAAAGATAAAATCCATACTTAGCACGCTCAAGTTCCATGGCGCTGATCAAATTTGTCAACAGCGTCCATGAAACAGCTGTTGGTCCAACAACAGTTCGCCACTGCCAAGTCATTAGATTACAGTCATCAACGAATGCAGCCACTTACTAGTAGTTCTGAGGCTCGCTCCGTTGAGGGAAATTGGTCATCGTCCATCTGAAAGTTGCCATACTCCGTGCAAGTTCACCCATCTTGTACAGGGCAACGGCAAGCTGGATATGTGAGAATACAAATGTGTCATCGAGCTCGCTGGACTTAGTGTAATTGTCTGCGGCCTCCTTGAATTCATTAGTGATGAAGAGAACTGCGAATCCTTGAGTGACGCTTGGACACAGAGGAAACAAATCACTCACCTTGTCCATGGTGATAATAGATGTCGGGGTCCTGGGGGTTGTGCTTGATCGCTTCCTCGAAGCACTCAAAGGCCTTTATACCCTCGCCTTGCTCCATGTGCACGCTTGCGATCTTCACCCAGCTTTGTGTCAAGGAGGGAAAGATCTTGACGGATTCGTACAGGTCATCCTTGGCCCCAGACACATCACCCATAAGGAACCTATACAAAGCTTAGTCAGCGCATTTCAGACTAACGAATGGCTTACTTGAAAGTGCCGCGAAGGTTGAGAGCTTCGGCTTTGCCTATCTCCCATGAAATACTCTGTTCCATCAAAAGGGACACATCAAAGGTTCCTCCTCCAAGATCAAAAATGAGGATGTTACGCTCACCGATGACTTTCTTGTCAAGACCGTAGGCAATGGCAGCAGCAGTGGGCAGATAGACTCAGCAGTCTCCTTAGAATGATAGATCTACGAGATGTTAGTATATGTGCGTGAATGAGGAGCAAATGACTCACCAAAACGAGTCGAGTGCAGGCACATCCCTCCCTGCGCATGCTCAGCTGCAGTCTCATCATAGGTTTCAATGGGTGGCTGTCAAATGCGAATTCCCTGGGCAGCAATGACTTCCCGGACACGTTGTTTGAAGAGGAATAGATCATTTTGCGTGAGGGTATCTGCTTTCGCAACCGTTTGTGTTAAGGTGAGGTGCGTTGGCTGTGAGTGAAAAATGTGAGCCATCGCGATGTTTATGTCGTAAGTAAGTGAGTATACATACAACAACCGAGTGATCTTCCCGAAAATATATACGGATATGTGAGAGAATGGAACTTGGTGAGTTTGGAAGGGGTAGGAAACCTGGTGAGTTGGAAAGCGGTTTGAAACCTGGTGTTTGGAAGGAGGTAGGATAGGGAAACGAGGGTGAAGGGAATACAATGAATCGTTAAAGAAAAAAACGGAATACAAGGAAAAAGGAGTACAAGTCACAGATTCACTGGTGAACCCTAATCCCGTGCGTGGAGCGATACACAATGGAATGGAGAGTAGCATTGTTGTAGGAGGACTCTATGAGTCTAAGCTGCACGTAAGTGCCTTGAGCGAGCGTGCCAGGTGTAGATGGTGGAAACAGATGATGGACCATGGTGAAAGATGTCGATGGGAAAGATGGAAGATGTCGATGGAAGATGACAATGGCAGTGACCAAAGCCAACTCGGAAACAAAAAGCAAAAGCAAAAGCCAAGCCATGCAATGCGTGAACTCTACAATTGCAGAACGGAAAAAATACAACAAGTCGGAGTGAAATGGGTGTGAAATGGTGTATCGATGTGTTGAAGAGTCGTGTGAGGAAATGCAATGCCGATGTTGATGCTCAGAGGAAAGGGCAGGAAAACGACGTTCCAGCGTGAAACGAGGGTGCAAGAACGCAACCCCTAATACTGCCCCATCCCCCCGTCTCATAATACTCCCCCTGCCCATACTCATACCCATGCTGCACCTGCTCCCCCTCCTGCGGCAGAATCATAGGCGGATGCAAGAAACCCATCCCGTGGCCATGTCCATCGCCCAGCGCACCCATCAACTCGCTGCTGCCTGGAAAGTTTGCGGATGATGTTGGATTTCATGCTGATGGGGCGAGCGGAGCTGTGGAGTTTGTAGTACAGGCTGCATCTGTGTACAAGATGAGCATGGTGTGCGAGAAAACAACGAAGAGCTTACGCGTTGCAGACGGTTTTGCCTTCTTCATCTTTTCTCCAGAGAGGGGTTGCAGTTGTGTGGCAGTTGTAGCATTGCGCGCTGCCTGTGAAAGAGAGTTGATACATGAGTGAGGTAGAGCAAGATGTCCTCGTTCTCGATGCTTCCATTTCCATCTTTGACCCATCTGCCAACAGAGTCCTCAGGCTCCTGAAACAATTAAAAAAAGAAGGCACTCACCAGCCGATGGACAAGGTTAGCAGCATGAGTGAACATTCGTACTGTACCGTTCGAGTAATATGATACGTGCAAGGTGTAGAAAAAAGTGCTCCCTAGTTGAGGGACTCTCGAGTGGTGACCAGCCCAGAGCTATCGCCTGGCAGCTGAAGACATCCGATCCCGGGCCACTCGAGAGAGAAGTAAAGAAAAAAACAATCAATACACCATTATATACACTAGCAACCCATTACAACACGGTAAACAATGCAAGAACACGACACGTCAGTCACGTGATTATTAAGCGTGATACACATTCAGTTTGAAAAACACTGCAAACAGAACATTCATGAACCTTTCACTTGATTTCAGCGGGTGTACTACCCACAGTGACTACTGACTATCGCAGAGAGCTTGAAAGGCGGATGATGTACTTGGCTGGGATGGGATGGGGTGGGGAGGGGGGGCAATAGATTTGGGAATGCTGAGAGTGATGGAGAACGGCACGACCTACAAGATCATTAGGGTCTTCATTTAGTATCTTTGTTTCTAGGGTGGATATGCTGCAGGAAGAAAGACTTACCATTGAGGTCTTCATTTAATATCTTTGTTTCTAGGGTGGATATGCTGCGGTACTGAGGCTTGCTATCAAATAATGTGGATGATGCAGATGAATCATCTGTTGTGCCGGAAGGAAGGATGGAGCTCGACGTACCATTGGGGTCTTCATTTGATATCTTTGTTTCTAGGGTGGATATGCTGCGGTACAGCCTTGTAAGCTGAACGGTGAAGGCAAATTATCCGTTGTGCCAGAAGAAAGGGTAAAGCTCGACATTGACAAATGAGCCTATGAGGAAGTCGAAGACGTGGAGACATGGTCTCCTGAATATTTAGGTGTAGGTGGAGGCTGGCTGCTGTTCAGCGCATGAGTAGTGGTCAAAATACAGGGAGACCATAATGTACTGCCAGAGGATTGTACCTGGACATTTGATAATCTGTGTGCAAGCAAAGTGATGGTAATGTCATGAAGCAGCAAAACTGGTCTTCTTTTCGGGTGCGTTCTGTTGAGGGCAGGATTAGTATTTGAATAACAATCAAGCAACACTGCAATGAACATACATGTTCGTCCAGCAATGCAGCACTTGCAAAAATGCGCTTTGTGACATCCGGTTGGCATGCCTCAGCGATAGGAGGATCATTTGTAGATGGTGCAGGTCCGTACTAGCAGGACACGTCGCCAATGGTGTTCCGAATTGGCAAAGCCGCTACCAGTAAGAAAATAAAGTAAAGGTGCACACACTGAGACTAGCACTTGGTAAGGCTGTGTTAAAATTTCCAACCGTAAACTCACCGAATTGCGAGCTAAGCCTGACAAGGAAAGGATCACTGGCAACCCTTGCTCTGTGTTATGAAATATAAGCTGCCTGTTAAATTGTGAGACCAAGTTTGCTCCAGCTCAAACTTTAACACTCACTCACCTCTATTCATAGTCTTCCTGCCGTGCGCAGAAAGACAACCGCACATTCATTTCATCTTTTTTTCCCTCCTTCAAGTTCACCTTCCCTTCAAATCAGACGCTGAGTTCAATGGAGTCAAATTCGCGCTGTAAGCATTTTTTCTCAAACAACGGATCAAAAAACAAAAACTTACTTGATTCAAGCACGACACAAAGCCAAGGATCAGGCGCTAGATAATCCAGGTAAGTATGATTCATATATTATACATTGATACTCACCACAATGATTTTGTGGCGGAGCTCAGTGTGGCAAGCCCTCAAAGGCCGGAGCAAGCAGCCCAGCAAGCACCGTGAACCTTTAAGTTCAATAAATGTCAAGCCTGTCCAAAACCAGGTAAAGTCAGGCAAAGTAAGTCATGACTCGGATTCTCAGCGATTACTTACTGTGACATGTCCAGATCACCGAACAAAGGCAACGGGACTACCTCCCAAATACTCCAAAAGTCGCAGTAAGTCTCAATGTCGACAAAATTTTTACAAATGTACTCACAGATAGATTAGAACGACCGCTACCTTCTCCAGATCCGGATTCAGAGGAGGAAGTCATCAAACCTCAGTGGCAATCAAAGAAACATCAGTGCATCATGGGTTGTCACGTGACACTCTGTACTGACTTGTTTGTAGTGCGCAGGCCAGCTATCATTGAGTCGGATCCAGCTAGTGACGAGGAAAACGACACCATAGAGGACTCAGACAAGTCGGAAAGTGAAGAATCTGAGATTGAGCCCGCGGAGAGCATCGCCAAGAGTTTGTTTGGAGAAGTGAGTACATGTATGTATTAACTACTGGTATTAACTTAGCATTCATAGGTTCCTACTACAATCACTGGCTCCCGTCAGAAGACACCTCACCATAGACGACTGGCAACAGTACCACCCACTCCAAAGACCACGAGTTCATCACGGTCGTCGAAAACTCCACCTCAACCGATTTGGGGCTCACAGTTCAAGCCTTTCAGTGAGAGAGAGAAAAAGCACGCAGCGGAGGCAAGTTTTTTGCCACATACTCGAGTTGCGAGTCTGCGACTAATAGCAATATGTGCCAACTCTAGATTCCCATGTGGGACTCGATAATGACAAGTTCGTCATTCGGGTCCCAGGGTCTCACTGGCACTAGTCGTGTTGCCAATAGGTCCTTTTCTGAGGAGTCAATCCTAGTTGATGACGAGTCTGATGATCATGGTCACACTCTCAATATCAAGCCTGAGCCTGACAGTGCCAACGAATCCGATCCTGAGCCCCACTCTACTGAATCCTCACTTCAAGCGGACCCTATAGCACACATTGTTTACTTGAAAACCTGGGTCTGTCCGACTCACGGACCAGAACCTTGAACTCCGTAATGTGATCCAACGCGGCATTCTCGAGGTTAAGGGACATATAGCTTTTGAGCATAGTTGCCCTGATCTCGTGTCGAAGAACATCTATGCACGGGAAATACTGCTGAAGGCTGCACAGTACCACAGTGCAGTGCCAATCGAGAAACAGATGAGGATCGACAATGAGTATTTGTCAGCCCTCACAAATCTAGTCAGTGCTGTATCTTTGCTGCAGTTTGGTACTGACATTATCTGTAGATTGACGCTCGCGCCAGTCTGTTTCACAGTGATATTAAGGACGTCGCGAGCAAGAGCATATCAGGTTACTTCCGTCTCGGTGGTTCGGACAACGACACAATTCTTGACCGACTTCTCGCCAATCATTCATATATTTTTCCACAAACATTCGACGTTTGTTCCTTTTTTTTTGCATGAAGTTGTTACCGTGCTGATACATGATATCATTAAAGGCTGGGGGCCTCCCTTCACTGAACCGACAGAAGCCCTATCAAACCCAGCCCGTGTTCGTTGTGATGTACGAAGTATTCTTCAAACACTTGAAGTCCGTTGGTGTACAGTTTGGACAGCGCTTCCGTGACATTGCGAATAATAAGGGTGGTTGCCCGGAGATTCCAATCCCCATGTTAGCCATAGTCTGCACTGCCGTGAGTCCTGCTGTCTTCATACTCATTCACACGTCATGATATTTCTCATTGTCAGATTCGCGCTATCCTACTTGCGAAGAAAAACGGGTCGAGTGACGACTTCAAGTTCACAGGTAATCAATTTTTAGATATTTACAACCACCATGTGTTGTTGTTGGGGAGCATCCAGAAAAAGGCACCTGTCAAGTTTCATAAAATGATGTCCGACATATATGACGACGTCCAGTAAGTCTGGGTCCGAGTTTCTGGCACATTGCTCACCTATCATCATTTACAGTTGCTTCCGTCATAGCAACACTGGAGGCTATGACCAGGATGATAGCCTCTCGTTCTTGGACTTGGACGGCATGGAAGATGAGTAGATTTTGCTGACATAGTTCATTCCGAATTTCCGATTGCAGTGCAGACAGCATCGGCTGTCTCTAGTTTACAATGCTGTTCTTGTAGATCTCGTATCCGCTCTGCTCCCTCATGCATCGTTTTTCTCATATATTACCACTGTTGATACCCACTTTTAATAATGATTAATTTGTTCCTGTACTTTCAAGTGTGAAAAGCCTGTCTAATAGTGTCGAAAAGGCTTCACCAGCTGCATCTAAGCTTGCCTAAACTCGTCTTAATTTTCTGGCTTAGCAATAAGTTGTTGTTAACCATCTCTAATTGGATTGAGGTAATGCAGTCCTGGCTAGCCTTCTAATCTATGCAGTTAGGACAATTTTGACAAAATATTTCTAATTTGTTCTAGTTAATAAGGGAGGGTTTTCCTGATGTGACCTTCATTGCGCAAACGCCGAACCACATATCGCAGCATTCTAGTCATATCCCACCTTTCAGATTTTCCTGAATGATTGGCACAATCTAAAAGAAAAGAATGCAGACACGGTCATGAATAGAACTGCAGAAAATAATGCAAATACTCACATCTATGAACTGCTTTCCCTTCATGAATTCGCCAATCTGTTCCAGGCCATAAATATCATTTTCTGGAAGAGCGATGGTCGGCATCGGCTCCATTGTCCATCCAGGTGTTCCCGCTTTGCTAGACAACCCTATCGCCTCCCCAATCGGTATGCAAGAGTCGAAATCGATTATCACAGGATCTCCCGTGTCATCGAGTGCGATATTAGCGGGGTTGATGTCATTGTGCACAAGACCGAGCGTCTCATGCAGAAAAGTGAGCCCTTTCGAAACACCATCAAGAATCGCGGCATGGTTCAGGGTGGGATCACTTTCCCAAACTGCATACATAAGTGTGCATCCATATCGTTTCAAACATATGGCAGTGATGTGATCAACATCACGGACGCATCCATAGTAGACGCAGATATTAGGGTGAGGGTGCTGCTTAAGGATTTCGTAGACTTTGGCCTCCTTGACCAGATAGTCTCCAGGTGTCCACACACCTGGCTTTTCTGGCTCGTCTGAGTCGTAGTCATCAGGCAGGAGTATGCACAGGCGCTTTAGAAAAGAGCCTGTGGGAGGTACAGGAGGTGATTCGGTTAAAGATGGATGCCAACGGCCCTTGAAAATTTGCATGGGAATGGGGATGGACTTGGAGGTAGAAAGGCTGTCGAGGTCGAATTGTTCAGTCGTTGCCCAATGCTGGGATTGGTAATAATTATCATTTTCCTTCCATACAATGGCAGTATGGTCCGGCTTGTCAGTTGTAGGGTTCCACACTTGATAACTTTTGATAAGTTCTCGCATCGTTTGGAATGACAAATTGTGAATATCTGCCAACTTTACTATATGCACTGCTGGAACCAAATGCCTGCATGTGAGGATGTTATATTATTAGTGTAAAGGATTTTTCGCTTACCAACAAGGGTTATGCTACTATGACTGTGCTGTGACTCTCCTGTCGAAATAGAATGAAGATAGTTGTTCGCTTCTGCTGTGACTCGGTCACCGTGTTGGGGCAAAACAAATACTCCGAATGCTAGTAGGTTATATGAGTATTCTCCTGGCTAACAGCACTGCGCCACCGGGGCTGTGACACAGCTGCAGGGGGATATAAAGCATGGCCTATCACAGCCGATAATCGATAACAGTTCAGCGAATTTCAATAGCTGTCTACTGCAAGCGCCCACATGTCGAAACTTCATTTTCGTTATCGTACATCGTTGATTAGCAGGAAGTAAGCGCTTCATAAGTATCACTTCCTTGGGTGGCGGTCAGCACCCTATCAAGAAGTTGTCATTAGCTGTCAGCGCTGAGGACCCACAACATTTTTTTAATTCTAATTTCTGACCATTGGGGTAAAATAGTACCATATGTCGGACAGTGGCCGCGTACTATCTGGTCTATAGGGCCCCTGGCCTGTCTGTTGTGATGACAGGCGAGCGAACGGAGAGAGAGGGAGCTAGAACAGAAAGGTACGATCTCAGTTTCAACTTGAACTCTGTGTATATTAACGTGCAAAGTACCTAGAACAGAAAGGTACGCTATGCTTTGGTTAGCTAACGCTAACATACATGATTTTTAGGTACTTACATCTCAGTTTCAACTTGAACTGAGATGTGTGCGTCTGACGGGCGCTTAGTTTTATAGTAGGTAAGTAAGGAACAAGGAGGGAAAATTTCTGACATATGTATATTGCAGGGCGTAGGCCAATGTCATTCGGGCGCAGCCTATTGGCCACTTTGGCTCATGCGCTCGGACCTGTTTCTCCCGCTCGTACCTAGCCGGATCCTTCGGCTTCCTCACTCTCTCCCTCATCGGATCGCTCGGACTTCAACACTCCCCCTCGAGCGCATGCCAGTCCCATATGGGTACGCAGCTTTTGGAGCCGGGGGCGGGCCAATGCCTTGGTGAAGGCGTCGGCGACGTTGTCGTCCGTGGGACAATAGAGGAGCTCGAAGGTACCGTTCTTCACATGAGAACGAACGAAATGGATACCTTAAGTCGATGTGTTTGGTGCGTGATTGGAACTTGCTGGTGGATGCTAATGCTATAGCGGCTTGATTATCACAGAATATGGGGGTGGGGAGGATCAGGTGGCTCGTAAAGTTCGCCAAGGAGTAATTGAAGGTATAGTACCTCCCTCGCTACACTGGTTAAGGCGATATACTCAGCCTCTGCTGTCGATAGGGCTATTATGGGCTGTTTTCGTGCGCTCCAGGACACTGGGCCTCCATTGAGTACTATGTACCCACTCATGGAGTGCCTGTGTGGCTGCGAAGCCCAATCTGCGTCGACGAATGCTTCGATCCCGGCATCCGTGGATCCCAAGGTGAGCTCGAAGTCGTCAGTGGCTTTTAGATAGCGAAGAGCTCGCTTACTAGCCTCCCAGTGTGCTTTCCCGGGGTTTCGCATGAACTGCGACAATGTTGCGACCGTGAAGGCGATATCTGGACGCGTGCTCGTGGCCGCATACATCAATGAGCCAATGGCTCGCTGGTAAGGTACGTCGTGCATGGCTTGGAGCTCAGCGTGCGTGCCTGGACACTGATCTATGGATAGGGAGGTGGCTGGTTCCATGGGTGTTTGCACACTCTTTGCATCGCCCAATCGGAAACGCTCGACGATAGTGTCGACATAGGCCTTTTGAGAGAGGGTAATGGTACGTGCCACTCGATCTCTAGTTACCTTTTGTGCTCCTGGGGGGTACGTTTGAAATAGACTGCCTGATCGACCTGGGACCAACTAAAACCCATCTTCTGAAAAGCTCCAGCCAGCTCCTCCGCCCATTCAAATCCTGCCTGCTTTAGGCCTGGTAAGCTTCGTCTTAGTTTTAGTACCTTGCCTCGCTGATCATCCTTTAGATATCAGGGAGGCGCTCTCATATAGATGTCCTCCTGGACGTCTGCATACAGGTAAGCACTTTTGACTGTCTACCTGGTGGATCTCCCAGTCCTTCTGGGCCGCCATGCTTAATACGGCACATATAATAGTGCTCATATTCGCCATCGGAGCAAACGTCTCGAAGAAATCGACGCCGTATTGCTGTCTCTGTCCATTCGTGACGAGACAGGGCTCTCAGCTTCAGCTTTTCGCCATCCGGGCCTCAGCTTAGTAGCTAGCACGAAGTGGCAGGGGATGACGTTTACGCCACGAGGTAAGTCGACGATGTCCCATGTTCCTAACTTCTCCAGCTGACTGATCTCATAGTCGAGCGCTTCTTGCCATTCTGGACCGTCTGGACCATTCAGAGCCTGCTTCAAAGTGGGCTCTGGCTCAGCTGCTGGCTAACGCTAGGTGAATGTGAGCTTCCTTGTCTAGAAGGTCCAAGTCTGACGCATTTTGCAGGGATTCGATGCTTACAGCTGCCAGTCTGGCCATTCTGGAGCTGGGCATAATAGCCTTTTGCTGGTCTGGCTCGGGTCTCACGAGGTTCTGGGGCAGTCTGGAATGGGAGTGGGTTCTGGAGGAGTGGGAGTGGGATTTGGGGTAGCCGGGATGGGCTGGACGCTAGGTGCATTGCTATTAATCTTCCTCTCACCCATTGCTATTGACTCCCCCTCGTTCAGCACATCCTGGTCAACGAGGACGTCCGGCGGCGCAAACATCACGTTGCGCTCGACCGATGTAGAGACTCGCGTTTCTGCAGGCACATATGGGCACATTTTGCACCTTTTCACAACTCATGACAATTGGCCTGCAATGCACGACTTGCACCATCAGCTATATTCGACTTCTATCATGTCCCTAGTCGTTTTACACATAACGCGCAGCTTTCCCGTGAAACGCGCCATAGGCGCGGTACTTTCCTGCACAACGCGCAGCATTCCCACACGCACACCTTGCGCGCTTTCTCGCGCTTAAGCGCCCTGCATCGCCCTTCATCGCCTATCATCCAGGGACGTCCGTCTATGTCCATCCACCTCATTGGTACGTCATATGCCTTGCCTCATGGTTTGTAACAAGCATTGCAGCGTTATTACATGTCATTATGTATTCATAGCGCTTACTGCTCCTATCCCTTCCGCTTCCGATGCGATTTCCATAGTATAAAGTTGCTGACTTACTACTCCATCATTATGTACTCCCCTTTGCTGTACTTCCCTCGCTATTGGGTTTTACCTTAGAGTAGTAGTCACCACTTGGGTGCACTTTGTGTTTCCAATGGTTATCGTTATCCGCCTATACTAGCCCTTTATCCGCGCTTGTTATAACACTCGCTCTGCGTTTGCACTCGCTTTGCACATCCGCTTCCTTATCTGTTTCCTTATCCGGTATTCTCCCACTCAACGCGTGCCTTAGCGCTCACGTTCCCACGCTCGCGCTTACCTTAGTGCGCTCTTTCGCGCTTCGCGCTCACTTCGCTTTTCTTCTTGCGCTTTCGCGTATCCATCGCACTTCAAGGGTCTTTCTTTCATCTGGTTCTGTGTTCAGTAGCAGTCCCCTTTAGGGTCGAACGTTCTTGCATTCTGCGAGTATAGCAGCTAGGCAGAGCCAAGATTCACTTATACTGGTTGAGCATTTTTAGATATTTCATATCAGCCCAGCCAGGTTGAGATCGCCTCACCGAGACACGTCTCTTCGCAGGCCAGTACACCCTATACACCTTGCTATCGGTGTCGACACCAACGAAGACAGCCTCCTCCGCGCGGGGTTCGAGTTTTCCAGCATTCGCCTGGTGGACATACACCCTGGAGCCGAATTCATGGGCCATGGAGAGGTTGGGCTTCGTCCTATGGACAAGCTCATGAGGAGTAGCACCAGGTATTGCGGTTGACGGTAGGCGGTTCTTTAACCATGTAGCATAATTGATTGCTTCAGCCCACAGGAACTTGGGGAGATCGCGGCCGATGAGCATAGCTCTAGCGAGCTCAGCCAGCGTTCTATTGAGACGCTCGGCGACCCCGTTTTGCTGGGGTGAATCGTGGACGGTAAGTTGTCTCTCGATTCCCTGGTCCAACAGATACTTATTGAATTCCGCGTTCAAGTATTCCCCTCCACGGTCTGACCGATGAGGCGATCTCAACCTGGCTGGGCTGATATGAAATATCTAAAAATGCTCAACCAGTATAAGTGAATCTTGGCTCTGCCTAGCTGCTATACTCGCAGAATGCAAGAACGTTCGACCCTAAAGGGGACTGCTACTGAACACAGAACCAGATGAAAGAAAGACCCTTGAAGTGCGATGGATACGCGAAAGCGCAAGAAGAAAAGCGAAGTGAGCGCGAAGCGCGAAAGAGCGCACTAAGGTAAGCGCGAGCGTGGGAACGTGAGCGCTAAGGCAGCGCGTTGAGTGGGAGAATACCGGATAAGGAAACAGATAAGGAAGCGGATGTGCAAAGCGAGTGCAAACGCAGAGCGAGTGTTATAACAAGCGCGGATAAAGGGCTAGTATAGGCGGATAACGATAACCATTGGAAACACAAAGTGCACCCAAGTGGTGACTACTACTCTAAGGTAAAACCCAATAGCGAGGGAAGTACAGCAAAGGGGAGTAATAATGATGGAGTAGTAAGTCAGCAAACTTTATACTATGGAAATCGCATCGGAAGCGGAAGGGATAGGAGCAGTAAGCGCTATGAATACATAATGACATGTAATAACGCTGCAATGCTTGTTACAAACCATGAGGCAAGGCATATGACGTACCAATGAGGTGGATGGACATAGACGGACGTCCCTGGATGATAGGCGATGAAGGGCGATGCAGGGCGCTTAAGCGCGAGAAAGCGCGCAAGGTGTGCGTGTGGGAATGCTGCGCGTTGTGCAGGAAAGTACCGCGCCTATGGCGCGTTTCACGGGAAAGCTGCGCGTTATGTGTAAAACAACTAGGGACATGATAGAAGTCGAATATAGCTGATGGTGCAAGTCGTGCATTGCAGGCCAATTGTCATGAGTTGTGAAAAGGTGCAAAATGTGCCTATATGTGCCTGCAGAAACGTGAGTCTCTACACCGAACCTTCCGGAGTCTGACTCCCGGATTCTGACGGCTAAGGTGCTGCCTCATACCTCTTAAACGCCTCCAATGCCTCACCTTTTGTTTTCAGGAACTTGACCTTCGTTTCACGGGTGTAATCATCCGTGAAACTGATATAGTAGGTCGTCCCTCCTAGGCTAGTAGTCTGCGCTGGGCCCCACAAGTCTGTATGGACAAGTTCCGCGTAGGTGAGTGCTCGAGTTGTCGACTCCTGTGGAAAGGAATTGACAGATTGCTTTCGCTTTCGCACAGGCTTCGCAGAATTCGGTAGGGGAGGTGAGGTCAACATCCAGGCCCTCGACAAGCTGATCCTTCGCGAGTTGCAGGACCGCCCTCTGGGACACATGACCAAGGGCACGGTGCACCTCTGCCAAGGTAAGCTTCGTCCTGGCGACATCGTCCTGGCGACATGGGCATGATGCTCTTTCTGATTGACCACGCTATATAGGCCTTCCAGTTGCGGGATCTCGGCTATAACTTTGCGTTTGGGTCCCTTGGACAAGATTTGACACATCTTGCCTTCAAACAGGACCGCTAATCCAGCAGAGGCGATGTGGTTGGTAGAAATGAGGGTGAATGCCATGGAGGGGGCATATAGTGCGTCCTTCAGGGTCACACTGGTCTTGCTCTTCCCCAATGGTAAGTCTAGTTTGACGTCTCCTCTTCCAGTAGCGCTGAGAACCGATCCGTTCGCAGTGTATACGGCCTGGGGGGGTGATAGGGATGAAGTTCGTGAACTTCAACCTGTCAGGACAGAAGTGGGAGGTTGCGCCGGAGTCTACAATGGCTCCACGGCGTTCTGGAGGGATATTCATCCTCTGGGCGATGTTCGCAAGGTCAGTCGTCGTGAAGGCATAATTATCTTGGCCCTCTGACTCCTTTGCAGTGTTTGCACTCTGCTTTTGGGTATCGTCCTCCCTTCTTCCCTCTCTGGTTTGGTCCCTGACCTTCTTTTCCTCCCCCTTGCCTCCAACAATCGCTTTTGTAGTGGCCCTTACTGGTCGCAATTGTAGCATACTGCTTCCGGATTGGATTGGGGTGAGGAGGAAAACGAGGATTTCGCCCTTCCATTAGGAGCTCTCGCCGATAAGGCCGAGTTGGTGCCCTTCTTGGCAGGTTGCTGACTGGTGAGTTGCCGGTGCTCGTATTCCTCTGACACAATATTGATTAACTCATAGGGGCTTATAGGTGAACCAGTAATCTTCGCAGCCGCATTGATGGACGAGAGTAGGGGACGGTAGGATTCGGGGAGAGACGCCAGTATCATGGCATAGAAGTCTTTCTCCTCGATGGCAGCACCCATGCCGGCCAGGGACTCGCGGAGCCAAGGCATCTCGCTAAAGTGAGTCTTGACATCACCATTTTCCTCACACCTCGTCTCCTGAAGTCTTCGCCTCAGATCAATCTGGACGAGCTCGGTTTTTCCTTCGTGGATGTCGCAGATCTCAGCCCAGACATTTGATCCGGACCCGAGCTTATGGACGCGCAACAACAGCCTATCCGTTATGGTGCTGAAGATTTGTTGCTTCACTAGTGAGTCCTTTTGATAGTACTCATCCATTTTCTTTTCAAATGCCTCGATCTCTGCGTCCGTCACTTCGGTGCCATCATCCTCTTGAGGCAAGGAGATAGGGGCAGGTCGTACTGCGCGACCAGTGATATAGCGCATCAGACCTCTCGCACTGATTGCCGTTAATGTTCTCTCCTTGTAGGTAATCCAGTTGCTGCCATCCTTGGCTAGCTTTGGGACGTTGAATAGGGCAGAGCTGGTGGAGGGGAGCATGATATCCATGGCCGTGTCAGGGCTCATAACCTGTTGTGATGACAGGCGAGCGAACGCAGAGAGAGGGAGCTAGAACAGAAAGGTACGATCTCAGTTTCAACTTGAACTCTGTGTATATTAACGTGCAAAGTACCTAGAACAGAAAGGTACGCTATGCTTTGGTTAGCTAACGCTAACATACATGATTTTTAGGTACTTACATCTCAGTTTCAACTTGAACTGAGATGTGTGCGTCTGACGGGCGCTTAGTTTTATAGTACACATATTGCAGTAACATATCTCCGTATTATACGAGTGGACGGACGTGCATAATATCCCGTATGATACGGGCCAGCGGACCATGGGCCGAGGGTAGATATATCCTCGACTGTGACGGATGGGCCGGGAGTGTTATTATTCCCGATGGAGACGGGTGGGCCCAGGTGGGGAATATGTAAAGTAGATGGGTGGGCCGATGGACATGAATTTTCAATAGACGGATCGGCCGAGGTAGTTGGATATTATGTAGATGGGTGTACCAAGGTAGATATGTATCAAATAGCCGGGTATATCAAGGGTGCTTGTTATCACATAGACAGGTGGGCCCAGATATATATCATATTAGACGGGTGGGCCGACGAATTAATATTATTTTGTAGACGGGTGGGCCGAGGGAGTGGTAAAAGATGTATTATATACAGGTGGGCCGACGGGAGACATATATTGCATAGATGGGTAGGCCGACGTGGGGGTATATAAGATAGACGGGTGGGCCCAGGAGAATGATAATTGTAGACATGATGGAGCTCAGCTAGTTGTATATCATCCAAATCAAAGGAGGTGATTATTCAAAGTCATCTAATGATGTGGTATGGCACGGAGCTTTGCAAAGGGGTGAAGTGGAAACTCGAGCGAAGTGTACCGAGTTCCGAGACCCGGGTCTCGACAAACGAATATGTGATGTCCAGCACACTTCCGATCATCTGGTATCTCATTGAGCAATGGATGATAATAGATCTTTGAAAGCCAACATCATCCAAGCCTACCAAATGCCAAATGCCAAGTTCCGACCACCGAAAATTGAGTGAAGTGTACCAATATCTGAGCCCCAACTATCGAATCCCGAAAATCGACCATCGAGTCCCGACTATCGAGTCCCGACTACCGAGTCATGAAACCCGACGCCTGACCATTGAATCCCGACAATCGAGTATCGAGTCCCGACCAACGAGTCCCGTATATCGAGTCCCGACCATCGAGACCCGAGACCCGACAGCCCGAGACCCGACGCCCGAGACCCGAGACCCGAGATTCGAGACAAGTTCCAACTATGGTGTCCCGGGTATCAAAATCGAGTGAAGTGTACCGAGATCCGAGGCCCGGGTCTCGACAAACGAGTATCTGACATCCAACAGACTTCCAATCATGTGGTATTTCATTGAGCAATAGATGATAAGAGAAATAGATCTTTGAAAGCTCAGATCATCCAAGGCTCCCTTATCTGATCCTCTCAATCTCCACCCCCTTTAACACCAAAGTGCGGACATTCAGGATTCAGCTTCTGATCTCACAAGATCAATTCAATCATGGATGTTTCTTCCACTTCCGATGATGAAATAACCCTCTTGCGCACTTGGGCCCTGACTGTCACTCATGTGGCATGTGATTATACGGAACAGAAATTCAATGCAGAGAAGACAGGAGGAGACCCAGTTATACCTTCTCCAAACCTAGACACTGATCTGGTGATGGCTTGTGATCAATTGGTTGATCGGCTCATAAAGGCATATAAAAATCCCAGTGAGTCTTCCTGCAGATTCGGAAAATTCGTTTTATCAGTCAAATTGCTTCATCACAGTTCAGATGCCGATTGATATTGCAAGATATAGCAAATTGATCTCCCCAAAGGACACGGGGCGTAATGAAGAGAGAGAGGAAAAGTTGCTTGAGAGGTGTCCTCCTGGCCATGAGGGCACAAAGTTGATCGACATACCCGCGACAATTCTTGATGCATCCGGTGCCATCATCGCATGGTACCTCCCAGACGCCTTGACCGATGCCACCCAGGTGTGTTATATATATTGTGACTGGATGGATATTGAACATCAAATGGTACGTACAGAATGAAATTTGGGCGGCCTCGGATTTGCTAGCTCCCATGCTCGAACAAAGCATAAAGCTCGATGGGATTTGGCGGACTAATCAACAGTGGTTCACACCAAGCTCGGAAAATGATGTCCTAACTCCCGGATGCGTTAATTTATCTCCGGCATGGTTTCAGCAGGGGCACGAGGTAGGATCTGATGAGATGGCGATCTCGGTAGTTAAACTCACCAATCCCATAGAATCAGTCCGATCCGGAGGTATCTGCATCATTGAAGGGACCATCCTCCGAGAACATCCTCAAAGCCATTGCGAGGCCAGCAGCCATTGCCACAGCGGCACTCAGGGTGATGCATCCTGAGCAGTACTGGGCAGGGTTGCAAGCCTTTGCGAGCCTCGGAGAAAAGGCACGAAGCAAGGAACTGCCGAAGATGTCAGAGACTCTCCAGTACTGGGCAACGGTGTTTAACAGCCTCACCAGTCATATGCAATCGGGAAACCCCGAATCATCGAGACCCCTCATCGATTTCCGAATGCTTCGATATTCTCACTAGCGTGGGGAATTATTCTAATGCTCGGATGAGTATGCCAAGCCTGCAGCTGGAGTTAAGGTACGATCCGGGGTGCATGATTGCATTTTCGGGAAGGATTGTCAGACACGCGGTTCATGCAGTGGAAGGGGATCGGATTGCCTGGGCATGGTATATGAGGGATGCTGTTCATGTTTATGCTGGGATTCCGTCGTGTGGATGGGCAAGGTTGGATTGGAAGAAGTAGAAAGGTAGTTACCCGTGTTAGTACCCACCTTCAAATACATGATACTAGATGTCAGGCACTCCATACTCAACATTCGGGTTTCGGGTCTTGATAGTCGGGACTCGATATTCGAGTATTCCATAGTGATGTTGTACACATTTCACCGACTACGGAGTACCGGGTTTCGGTACACGGTACCCGGTACTTGATAGTCGGGACTCGATATTCGATTTCACCGACTACCGAGTACCGGGTTTCGGGGTTCGGTACACGGTACCCGGTACTCGGTGATTCAAGAAAACAACTCCCAAAATTGATGAGTGTCATGTTTGAGTTTGTTTCGATTTGTTTCGAGTGTCGAATCTCGGGCTTCGGGCTTCGTGTTTCGGGTCTCGATAATAGGGACTCGATACTCGATGGTCGGCACTCACATCTCGGGCTTCGGGAGTCGATTGTCGGGACTCGGGTTTCAAGACTCGGTAGTTGGGACTCGATAGTGCGGATTCGGGTTTCAAGACTCGGTACCCGGTACTCGGGTTTCGGTACTCGGTGATTCAAGAAAGTGTCAGTGGTGTTTGGAGTTTTGATTTGTTTCGTGTTCGAATCTCGGGCTTCGGGCTGCTTGGGTTTTGGGTCTCGATATTGGGGACTCGATACTCGATGGTCGGCACTCAAATCTCGGGCTTCGGGAGTCGATTGTCAGGACTCGGGTTTCAAGACTCGATTGTCGGGACTCGATGGTTGGGACTCGATGGTTGGGACTCGATAGTCGGGCTGTGGGACTCGATTGTCAGGACTCGGTGGGGACTCAAAACTCGCAACTCATAGCAATGTTCGAGTTTCAAGTCTCGTCTCGAATCTTGGGCTTCGGGACTGGATATCCGGGACTCTATGTTTGGGACTCAATATTTGGAACTCAAGATATCTGGATCTCGATACTCGATATTTGGTATGCAGGACTCAGCATATAGCAATAGGTCAGATATTCGAAAGTCAGTATGTAATTTTCAGTACTTATTTCATCATGTACAGAATTTAGACTTCAACATTCTGAACTGAAGGACTAGAACTACTCTGGTCCCCTTGGGTTCAATTTGGTTAGGACGGCGGTGTACATCTGAATCTCTGCCATCTTTTCACGGATGCCAGCTTGTTGATCCTCAATCACTGTCAGGAGGCGTTCCCTCATCCACCTCAGTGCCTTCAGTGTTGCAAGCGAGCTTTCATCCACCTGCTCGGGAACAACAAGACGTTCGTCCTCAACGCCAGACTAGAAAGGATTAGTCATCACTCAAGGAAATTCTGTAAAAGTCTTACTAGCCAATGCTGGTAGTGACAGACACAATTAGCGAATACCTGATCCCATGGCCATAATTCGTTCGGGATGGCAGTTGATCCGGTCCACCATGGAGTACCATAGGTGGATACAATGCGGGAGGGATCCCCCAGATCTGCAACGTCTTGAAACTGGCATAGGTGGGATGAAAAGATGTGGTCCGGAACCATGTTCCAGGTGAGCTCGGGAATCAACTGAAGAATATGAGCAACCGGGCTCGGAACAACCGAAATGATGTTCCTTGCAGCTGAGTACTGCAGGATGGGAGTCACAAAAGTCTGTTGGAAATGTCAGCATTGACCACCACAGTCATCAGCCTCTTACAGCTATCTCCCATTGCAGCCCGGCTTTAAAGTGCGTGATCCGAGTAGCAGATGGCTCCTGGGTGTGGGCAGCCTCCATCTGATATTGAGAGATGGACGCTCGGATGCGAGATGCAGCCATTGACATTGTAGCTGCAATATCTGCCTGAGTGAGTGTGAGGGGTCGGAACCCATTGCCGGAAGTCTGAGAATTAGAAGGGGATGTTGGGGGAGTATGCAATACAGACATGGTTAATGCAGGATTATGAAGCTGGAAATGACAATGACAATGGCAGTTGGTTCGGAGGTCAAGATATGAGCCACTGGTTGATTGATAAAAATTTTCAAACTCCGACATGGGTCGACCCGGCCAATTCCCGGGACTAAAATGTTTGGGTCAAAGTAGCTGTTTCATATCGTTGGCAAAAAAATTTCATTCATCTTGAGCATCTATAAACCCGGTCTTCAGGTCTTGAAATGCTGCCTGGGCATCCTGTGCCAGCAATGAATACATTTGGGATTGCCTTACCGAGTAGCATGCATGACCCGGAAGGTGTTTCACCAATGATTCGCGCATCCTGTCACCCCATTGGGTTGCTTTCCACAAGAAAAAGTTACATGTCCAATCCATCTCCAATTGGACCAACATCATTTCTTCCTTCCATCGATCCCGTAGTGCCTTTGCCCGGAGCCAATGAACTCGGTAAACTTCGGATGACTCCGTCAGCTGAGTGCGGGACACATCAAGCATGCCCGAACTCACATTCCTCATTCCACGAGTGATCGGGACCCCCAAGGTCGACTTCGACTGACCAGAACCAAGCGAGGGACTCGTTTCGCTGACCTCGGGCATTTGGATCGCCGACGGCAGTGCTGATTTTGAGTTGCTCTCGAAGCAGGGGTTTGTATTTCTGAACCTGGTCTTGCCCTGGCTCCAGTTGCATCATTTGCTTCCTCGTCTTCATATATATACTGGCATGGAGGGACACTGCCTGCTGCACCGACGTCACCTGGGACCAAGCTCGAGTTTTCAGGGCCTGGGATTTGGCTTGCCTAATTGTTGTTCGAAACAGAATCGCCTTGTTGCACAAGTGAATTCGGAGGTTGTGAAGGGAGTCATTGGCCTGCCCTTCACGAAGAGACATCTCCAGCGGAATGAGATCAGTCTGCCATACAGCGTCTGCATCGATCTACCCCGAGGTTTGATGGCAATGGGATTACAGTGAGCTCAGGGGAGTTTGCCCATGTGTCAGATGTCTCGGTAAAGTCTGCCAAGTCATCATCAAGATCATCAAGAATGTCCAAGTACAAGTCTTCAGGATCATCATCTGCATCAAATCCCTCTCCGAGATGCGTAATAGCAGACCGAGTGAATCCATCTATCTGGCCTTGGAGACGATCGCGTTGCCGGGCGATGTCTAACTTCTGTGTCTTGGTAGTTCTTCTACCAATTCTTCGGACCTCAATGAGCAATGCGATTTGAGCCTCTTCAATCGCCAACCCCATTGATATCCATGTCGCCACAGACCTGCGAGCAGGTGCTGCATTTCGGGCATTACCCTCCTCTAGTAGCCTAAGCTCAATCTCCTTTTTGCTCGGTGCTGAATGCAAAATTAATTCAGACTTTGATGGAGACAAAGTCAACTAACCCTTCTTGATATTAATCTCATATACATCCATAGCCGCAGGATTATTTATTCTGCTGGACTGAGCGATCCTCTCGCTGGCTAGCCACTCTGTCTTTGAATCGCCGGGTGCTGCTTCATTGAGTATGTCGAAAGCCTTTTCACTTTCGGCAATGCCATTCTTTGCCTGCTTGTATTTTCGGCAAAGGGTCCTTTTCATGCAGATCATCTTGCAGAAATTGGAATCATTCATCTGATAATCGAGACATTCCTTTCGATGCGGGGATGACATTCCCCGAGCAGCAGGGGAAATCAGGTTGAGACGTGACCATAGGGTCTCCATGATCTCTCCATCAATCCGACTGATGCCTTCGATAAAATTCGACGCATATCGGACATAGCAGCTGTCCTGATGTCCATGGATGTGCCACAACCCGATTCCGGGAATGATGGTCAATTCCGGAACCATTTCGAGAAATCGGCTTCGATCCACCCGAACCCGAAAGTGCTTGTTGTATTGACAGTTGATATCATAGAAGGTGACCGCCCTGGTGATGCCTTCCATGTTGTGCCGGGCAGCCTCACAAAGGGCATAGTCCATGTTCATTTGTCTGCGAATGATGCATGGTTAACTCGTGAATATCGAATGGCTGGGTCGGCTTGCCTTTCGCCTTTCTGAAAATCTACCATCGAGTGAGGAACAAAGCAACCGTGTCTCGCACAGGCTACTCCCCCGATACCCGTGGATTCCAGCTTGTGCCGAGCCGCATTTGCTTGATTTACTGCCCGGTGATTGTTGCAGCTTGATTTTTCTAAAGTGTCGGCAGCCTCTGCAAGATGCGTGTTATACCTGTCCTTTCCCACCATGAATCCCAACCCATCTGACAGCCAAACTTCATCAAATGGCTTCATGGGATGCAGGTGTTCAGCTTTGAAATTTCCATCCATAACAAATGACCGGGTGTATTTCCACCTTGGAGTTGTTATTATTGCTGAGGTGACTTCGGTATCAAGGAAGACTCACTCATCAAGTGATTCATCCCCTGAGAAGGACACATTAATCCCAGGCTGAGGACATGCCGGGCAAAATAATGCGAGATCTCCTGCATTCGGGCTGTCGGAACAATGGCCGAAGCCATGCCATTTCATCGTCTTCAACTGCCTCCACTGTCGGGCGACTCTCATGAGCTCTCGGTATCGGTCCTTGCCCCATGCCTTGTCAATATAATGTCCTTTAGATGAGAGAGACATGGCATTACCGGTACAAGGTGTGGAAACATCCTCGAGGTCATTCGCCGGAGCTTGCTGTAATAGTTCATCGCCGAGGTCCCACATTCAAGGTTGTCCAATAGAAAATCATCGAGAACCCTGAAGGTGAATAAAGTCTTCGGCTTGTTAAATGAAGCGGGGAAAAATCCATGTCGAAACATTTGAAGGTCTGGACTCATGGCATTTGGACAATCGCAGCATCGAACCCGGAGGCGATGAACTCCGGACTTGTCAATGATGACCATGGTGTTTTCCTTCGGCTGGAACTCGGGTCCCGACACAGATGGTAGATCTTCAGGCTCAAGCTGGTCTTCCGGTTCGTCTTCTTCAAACAAGTCCCACCTATCCGTAAGTACCGGACATTGTTTGCCCCTTGTTAAGACCGTAGCTCAAGGGTAGACGGATCCGAAGGGCTTAGCCTCAGCTCGTGCGCTGTGCCCCTTACCCGAGTATGTGCCCTTAATTTCAGAATGAAGTCCAGATGGAATCCGACGAAGTCCGAAGGACTTCCGGATGAGCGCGGGAAACTTTCAGATGAGTATAGGAAACTCTGGAAGAGTTTCACCCGCTGCATTAGATCCGAAGGTAAGCTCCCTAGATGGAAACACATAGAAGATAGGCTGCAAGGGACAGAGTCCAAAGCAGGATAGGGTAGGAGGAGTGGTCCGAAGGACCAGGACGTCCGGAGGTCCGAAGGTTGCGTCGTCCGAAGGTTACGACGTCGAAGGTTGCGACGTCCGAAGGTTACGACGTCCGGAGGATCGGAGGAGCGGACAGGATTCTAGGACAAGAGAAGAAGGGCTACAACGGACAAGGTCCGGAGTAGAAACAGACGGAGGTAGACTACACTATGGTAGAGTCGGATAGACGGGGTTTAGACAGAAGTCTCGGAAAGACAGGAAGTGCCGGAAAGGCAAAGCTTCGGCTTAGGGAGTCAATCCCTAAGCATGGATATAGACGGAAGGATAAATCCGGAGGACCGGAAGGTTGGCCTAGGGAATCCTTCCCTAGGCCTAAGGAAAGGCAATACTAAGATGGACCGAAGTCCGAGATCAGAATGAGTGAAGTCTAGGATGCGAGAGAGCAAGTCTATGTTGAGCAGAATCTAAGATGATATTCGAACTGAGGAAACTTTACAGGAGTTGTACAGAGGTTTATATACTGGACGGGATCCGAGAGGATCAGTAAGCTGAAGACAAATGCTATGTACGAGCATGTGGAAACATATTGGTAAGTATGAACGGAACATAAACAAATGAACTCGGAGATGAACAAAGTACAAGGATCAATAAGCAAGACGGAAACACAGATAACCGAAGTCCAGAGTCAAGAGGATTACCATAAGGAGATAGACGCTGATTTAAGGTTTGAGCTTCGGATATGAGTATAGGTCGGATCCGGAGGTCTAGAGATATTGGATGAGGCGTCTGGATATCGGATGAGCGGATCCGGAGATCTAGGTGAAGACGAGACTAGGATATAGATCATGGATATCATCCGGTAGTCTAGGGAAGGTAAAGTCTCAGGTAGGATGAGCTCGGATCCGATGGGATCAAGGGTGGATGAAGCAGGCTTAGCTGCGGAGGTCCGAAGGTATGGATATATGGATGTACGAAGGTGTACGGATCCGAACCGATAGTGGACTGGAGGACTGCAGGCATGGATAAGGGTATGGAGTCATGGATAAGGGTATGGAGGTCCGGATGTGCATCCGGAAGGCGTCCGAGGCGTGGGAACATCATCGGACGTAGGTCCAGAATACGGGATATGACAGCCCTCATGACCGAGGTGTATGACGAGTCCGACGTGAGCGAGACAACTTTGCTCCAAGAATTGACCATTCCATTGACTGATCCAATGGAAGGATTGCAAAGATGTTGACTTCTGCAACAGCCAGTGCAATAGAGTGGCTCCCCAAGACAATCGTGACATTTGTAGACCCATCCTGGTCACAGACGACGCATCTCCTATCTTCTGGGGAGCTTCTCGATCCAGGAGGTGATGCAGATATGATTTCGCCTTGGCAGCCATTGCCTGAGGTAGTCATTCTGACTCTGGATTTGTTATACTTAGCTATCATTTGAATTGCAATGCAACATTTTACATGAACTTGCCATGGTTTTTGGGAGTTGCAAAGGCTCAAATGAGCCTTGGTCTTGCTCGTAAGTATTGTCAGGAATGTCTTCCCAAAGAGGTGGTGCCTCAACAGGCCGAAGTGTTGGTGATTCTGGGGGAGAGCTAGGCATGGACCTGTATGCACGTCTTTTTGTGCTTGCAAGTGGGACCTTGACCCAAATTTTCCTACCTCTGCTTCCCCTTGCTTCTACCCTGTGGGATCTTTGCAGTGGGGTGCATCTACCTATCTTCATGTTATTTTCTAAGGCTGCAAGCAAAGCACGAGCTCAGGAATGCGAATAAATTGTTATTGCAATGTGATCTTATGCGGTCTTGATGCGTCATTACAAATTCATTTCCAATAATGGAATTGCGTCCAATATGGGTCGATTAACCAACTGTTAGGCTTTGCTCAAAGTTGAACTTGTCACCGTTATTACTTCCACCTTGCTCATCCTCAGCCCTTTCTGCAATCTCATTCACAATGGCAAGATCAGGTCATTCCACTCAGTTGACTTCCACTTCTGGAAGACATAGGGCGCGTCAACCACAGACACAGAAGCTCACGGATAACGAAATTTCGGAGTTGAAGAACTACCTTCCTGAGTGGACTTCGGCGAAAAGGATTGAGAAGAGGGCAGTTTTCACTGCCATAGCTAGGGCTGCCAGGCTATTTGCTCCCAAGGTCGACCAAGCACAATGGAAGAAGAGGAAGCAGGTGATTCATCCTTGCTTCATTCAAAACTAAAATTTTAACATCTTATTCTTCCATGAACTCTCAGATGTACAAGACATGGTTGTTCAACAACCAGAAAAAGAAGGAGAGGAAGGACATGATAAAGTATGGGAGGAAATGGACTCCTAGGCAGGTGATCTACCAGCAGAAACGGGAGGAGGTGCTGAAGAGGATTGAGGACGAGTCCGGGCAAAGCCAGGAGGTCCCTGGTATGTTCAAGCATTATCAGGCGGCTGTAAAAAGAGTCATGGCTGAATTGTCCGATGATGAGTTGGAGAAGGCGAAAGACACGGCTGAAGAATGGTCCAGCAACTTTCCTCCTCCCGAGATACAAGCACAAGTGGCTCGTAAGAAGGGACCGGCGTATATGGAGCACTTTTCGAAGGAGATGTGGAGGCAATGCGGGATGAGAGTGTTTGTGATGTCGGCATGGAAGAATGAACAGGGAGAGGTGCTGTTCGGGATGTAAGTCAATTTTGTCATCGCAGATCATCGCAGATCTTCGATCTTCAATACATTTCATGCAGGCACGATGATAACGAGGCATTAGGAGATGGGGAAAGTTTCATGAAGACGAAGGACTGGGAGGACATCGAGCCAGTTTGGCAGGAGTACGCGCAGGAACAATTCGGTGAGTGTTTGATCTCTGGCTACTGGAATGAATTGGTTGATCTTTGTCATGATAGGTGCTGGGGCACGAGATGGTGGGCGACAGGTGAATGGAGGTCGAAAGAGAATCAGGAAGCCTGCTTTCGAACTCGAAATTGATGGGGATGGGATGCCGGTGCTTCCTGACATCACCGAGACGAAACTTGAGGAGAAGAAAGCCATCGTCAGAGCATTTCTCACATCGCACTATCGTGAGTCCGTCGTCGCAACACCTGAACATTTGTTGAATGCATTTATACAGGTATCTGTTCTGGGATTGTCAAGGCAGTTGTGCCATGGAGCGCCATCGTACAAAGTCAGGATGACTTTGTGGCAAGAACGTATCTTCCGGCGGATGTGGACTTGAAGGAGCCTTCGAAGTTGCAACATTGGGACACGACCGCCTTACTGAATTTCTGGTATGCTCGGCAGGAGAAAGGCGAAGGTCCAACATTCCTGTTCAAAGCATGGAGGAACAGAGATGGGGACATGGTAGCCTCGGTTGTATCCGGAAATTCACCTTCTCATCGGACTCGTAATGCCAGACGAGTTATGATCCGAAGGCCTCGGAATTCATCGACCGAAACTGACAGTGATCCCGAGGCCAATCACGAGAGTGATCCAGAGAGCAATCCCGAGGACAACACTCATCACATGGAGGATGATGCTGATGATGACACAGAGGAAGGTAGATCCCCGCAAAAGAGACCCAGAACAGAGCCTGGTCCTTCGACAGCACATGAAGGGACAGCGGTCCCACATGCAATTCCAAAGCCTCGCCCGGTCAATGCAGGGAAGACTGGTGCACTGCTGACATCGCGAATGGGCGACCTCCTGACTGGGCTGACTGCGAGAGTCACTCGCAATGTTCAGGAGGATGGTGCAACAGAACGAGTCAATAGGTCGCCGGCGCTGAAGAACATGCGGGGAAAGGAAAGCGGTGATTGAGCCATCGGTGAGGACAACCCGGAGTAAGTCAACACAGCAGCCATTGGACACAAGCACTCGAGTGACGAGAGCAAGGGGAAAGAAGTAATGGGCTGATACTACACTGCCTGCCATTACCTGCTTGTATTTACATGTCAATGTGTAACTTTCATATATCAGACCTAATATGATATGCAGAGTCCCCACTAGTGCAATATCGATTATTGAGTCCCGACTATTGAGTCACAAACATTGAATCCCGACTATCGAACCTCGAGTCCTGAACCCCGAGATTCGTCAAACACCGAGTCCCGACTATTGAGCAGTCGAGTCCCGAGCATCGAACATCGAGTCCCGAAAATCGAGTGCCGAGTGTTGAGTCCCGATTATCGACTCCCGAATATCAAACATCAAGTCCCTGACTATCGAGTCCCGAGTGTTGAGTCCCAATTATCGAATCCCGACCATCGTGTATCGAGTCCCGTTCGACACCCGGGGACATGTATTGAAAAATTTGGTAGTGTACATGATGTGGGGATGTCAATGAAAATTCACAGGTTGCAATGCAGTAATTTACATGGTCAGTTGTTCTTCAAAGTGTTCAATCATGGAATCTACTACCTTGAGCATTTCAATGCTCATCTGTTCAACTCTTTGCAACCTCTGCAGGTCTGCATCAGCTTTTTCAGTTTGTCGGATGTTTCTGCCCAAGCAGTTCGGAATGGACGCTCAGGCCTCGATTAGTTGTTGGATGGAAGGTTCAGGAAGACCTCCAGTACGGCAGTTTGTAATCATGGAGTCGATCTTGGACGGATTGGTCTTCCAGAAAGATTAGCTCAAAGATAACCTGCTCTGCTTTCAGATACTCACATTCTGGGTGTTGGTATTTTCCGAAAGGATGGAGCTCCCGGACCATCAACCGTACATCCTCGATATTGAGCTCTGGCTGGTCTGCAGGGAGTTTCGGTAGATGATTTGTCGGCTTGGGAGATAAGATCAGTCTCCATAATGGTCCAGAATGAATGGACCCACATGAAATAGACACCTCTGAGGTAGCCGGAGCAAAAGTGGGAGGATCAGCAGAGTCCAGCAACTCATCAACATCAATGACATCATCCTCAGGCCCGAGGTACAAGTCTGGATCAATGAGACAGCTGGCATCATCAGCTTGACCCGGATGTGATTGATCTTCAAGGGTGAAGTTAGCATGCATGGTGATCCCAGGTCATCAGTAATGTATAGTCATACCGGGTATTGCAGCCGACGCATCCGGGGGTCCGGATGACATAGAATCATATTCTATGTCATCATCCGGCCCGAGGTATAAGTCATCTAAGTCATCTAAGGGATACCCGGTGAATAGATAAGGCATGATAAGAATACAACATACCTAGTGATGCCCGGCCCATAGATGAGTCATCCACATCCATAGAATTATAGTCGGTCACCGGTGGGTCATTAAATCTAACGGCTGGATGGGCACTCATGTGTGGAGAATTGGTGGACTGATTGACTGATGATCTAAAAAACTTCGAAGTTCAACACAAAGCCGGCAATTGCCGAAAGTTGAACAACGACCAAACAAACACAAACAATAAACGATTTTGTGGATCGCCCATCAAATGTCTTGTTTGTTTGAAACTTCATCTTTCTGATAACTGATTTCAATCTGATTTCAAGATCTTTAAATCTCTCAACCCACTCATCATGTCCACTCCAGTTGACAACTCTTTGACCCATCTCAAGGCATCCGCTGCCCAGATCATGGCCATCATCAGTGCCGCCCGGCAGATTCCCCCGGGTCCCAGCCACTCGGCTTTGGGAAAACAGGTTGCTACACTTGTGGTATGTATTTTGTTTGGGTGCTTTTTCTTCTCTAACATCTTGGTAGTCTGATGTAGCCAAGGAGTATGGGTCCGGGGATGGTCCTATTCCCGGCCTCATCATTTCGTGCTCCAAAGAGCTCCAGCACATCCGCAACATGGTTCCCAAGGTCTGGCCAGACTGGCACTCCATCGGGTATGACGATCCTCGCATTCTGAGGCACGCCTGGTACCCCAAGGTCCTCGCCTGGAACGCCTTAGGCGACCAGACCTTCGATCTCCCAACTGCTGCCCCCCCATCCACAGGTCCGATTCCTGTCAACCTTCCCTCCCCAGCCATCCCTGCCGGCAATGTCGCCGGCCCTTCCACCAACCCCACCACCGAGTCCCGGGACAAGGGGAAAGGTAAGGCCGTCTTCGCTGACCCAGACCCCGAGGCAGAAGGGAGTAAGAAGAGGAAGTCCCCCTTGATTTCTGGACCCTCCTCCCAACCCCCGAAATCTGCGATGAAGAGTCACAAGCGTCAGAGGTCTGCTCGCGTTGTGAAGTCCAAGGCCATCGTGGAGTCGGAAGATGATGAAGACTCGGTTATGCAGGTATGTCGTCTTGTTCATTTTTTCATTGTCTCTCATTTTCGTGTAGCCACCTTTGGGTGGAGTGCCGGAGGTCGTCCTTCCCCGGCTCTCCACAATTGTCGCAAGGACGCCTGATTCACCTCGCTCGCCCCGGGTACCCAAGAAGAAGCCCTTTGGCCCTGCCACAGTAAGTGTCATTTATGCGTCCGGGACTCGGGTGTGTGCTTACATTATACCAGGTGATTGCCGGCAGTCACACAGCAGTTGTGGAGCCCTCCCAGCCCACTCCCGAACCTCCGGTGCAGGCACCCCCAGTCATCCCTGCAGTTGACATTCTCATTCCCGGACCGGTGAGTACTTTGAAATATCTCATGTGTCCATACACAAATACAACCAACAGAACAACCCATGCTATGCTTGCC